GTTTCTGAGGCTATAAATCTTTACAGGAGCAGAAAGCCTCATCTTTCTCCCACAGTGAGACCAGAGGATGGCATTTTCTACATCAGTCAAGGGCAAGCGCAGGTCCCAAACCTTCTAGGGACAAAGTGCTACAACTGCACTGAGGGGGCCTGGGCTTCTGGGTGAATACCCCACAACACAGGTGTCTGACTATCCCAGAGATGCGTTCAGCCTGCAGTTGGGCGGGGCCCACAGGATGAAATGTGTGTGAGCCCACACATGTATACACATACATGACACACTCATATACACCCAGCACACGCACATATGCACACATGGTACACACAGAGATGTGTGAGCACATACTCAATACACACACGGTGTGCAGTGAACACAGGCATGCATACAAATACACACACCACACGTGCACAAATACAATCTGAGGTGGTGTGCACATACATACACATGCATGCATAGGACTAGGAGTTTTTATTAACAGAAAGGGCCTGTCTGAGGTTAGATTTTCCTGCGACATTAGCAGGAGTTACTAGTACCTTTAAGATAGTTAAAAACTCTCTTCCCTTTAACAGTTTGGTTTCCTCAATGGCTCTCTTCAGGCATTTGCATGGTGAGCTGGATTCCCCTAGAGGGCAACAGAGGGCTGAGGCGGCCCCCAGGGAGGTCAGGAGGGGAGGTGGCAGCCACATCTGAGAGGTGGCACCTGGTGTGTGTGTGGGGAACGCTCAGTGTCTCCTCTAGAAAGGTGTCATGTCTCTGGCGCACACCCCCATTGGATAAAGGAGGAAACTGAGGCCCAGACTGGTAAAGCGGTTTGTTCAAAGTCACACAGCAAATGAAGACTCTCATCTCCAGACTGGGACTCGGGCTCTGTGCCCTACAGATGGGTATGGGTCACCCTTCCTGGTCACAGGGTCTCTCCACCTAAGAAGTATGGCAGTGACTTAGCAATGAACCCAAAATAGTCCCAACTCATTGCCACTGAGTTGATTCCAACTCAAGACGTAGCAGAACTGAACTGCCCCATTGGGTTTTCTTAGCAAGAATCTTTAAGGAGGCAGATTTCCAGACCTTTCTTCTGCAGTGCCATTGGATGAGTTCAAACCGCCAACCTCTAGGTTAGTAACTGAATGCAAACTGTTTGTGCCATGTAGGGACCTAAGGGGCTCCTAATTCCTCCTCACCTTGCTCAGTACCCATCCCAACCCTTCCTAGCGGGCCCTTGCTCATGGATGAAAAAGTACCCTTGACAACACAGGGCAAGGCCAGCCCACCCACCAGTCCAGGCTACATCCCAAGTCCCCTCCCCAGACTGCCATGTACTGGTGCTGGCCCAGGCTCCGTGAAGCCCATATCTAGGTTCTCAATAGCTCAACAGCGACCACAGAGAGAGGGGATGGGGTTCTGGGAAGGCAGGAGTCAGTCAAAGCAGGGTTGTTCTGGCCTTGGGCCTTTCCTTCCCGGCCCTCCCTGGCTCAACCCCACCTGCTTTGTGGTCTCGCTAGCTTCCCTTCCCCCTGGGACCAGGAGTGGTATGAATATATGCCACTCCACACGTGGTGGCTGCATACAGTAAGCACTGGACTGCCAACTACACGGTCAGCAGTTCGAGTCCACCAGCTGTTCTATGGGAGAAACATGAGGCTTTCTGCTCCTGCAAAGATGTACAACCTCAGAAACCCGACACAGGGTTGCTAGAAGTCTGAACCGACCCAATGGCACTTAACAACAACAACAACATTCTATTCACAGATTCTCCACAAGATCCGGTGGACCCTGACCCTAAGATCTCACCTACCACCAGCCTCTGGGCAAGGTCTGTTCCCACTTCCTGGGTTCCCCCACCCACAGCCAGGGATCCCAGGGCTGTTCTCAGTGTCTACCTAGACCCTGTGGGTGTCACTCCCTGAAGTCCTGCCCCCACCCCTTGCAGAGCCCCTTCTGAGTCCTCCTGAGAAGCCCAAATTCAATCCCCTTTCTGGCATCTTCCTTTTCCTGCCTCCTGCCTGAACACATGAGCCTAGAGGTTGAGCAGGGGTGGGGATGACTCCCTGACTTTTAACAAGTGACCCCAAGAGTGCAATGACAGCTCTGGGGACTAGAAATTGAGGAAAGGGTACGGGGGGGGGGGGGGCTTTGGGAAACAGAAGGGGCAGACTGGGGACATGGTCAGGAGGCTATGAAGATCTGCTAGTTTCCTGAGGGGCCACCCATTTTCCCCCAACCCCACGGACTGTTACTCAGCCTCACCCAGCAGCAAGAACATGAGAGTCTGGGCTATGTGCCTGGCTGGGTAGGGTGTGGAGGCCAGAACTGGTGAGGTCTGGAGGCCCCTCACCTCTCCTGTCCCTGTGACAGGTAGAGCCCCTGGCGCTTTGAGCTGAAGGAGGAGGAAGAGCCATGGCAAGGCCTCTGTGGAGGGAGCTGGAGGCTGTGCTACCACGTGGCTGAGTGGCTGCACTCTGTATTCATCTGGGCTGTATGGGGAACACCTGCCTCACTCTAACAGCCCATGAGGAAGTGGGGAAGGAAAGGCTCAGGTGTGGAGACTGACAGGGAGTTAGGACAGAGGACCAAATGGAACTCAGAGGCTGTGAATGGCCCTCCCTGAACCAAGAGGGGCTGCCCTATGGCTAAGGGGCTCTTATGCATCTATCAGGCCCCCTGCAGCAGACTAAATGCTAGTGGGTCAAGGGGCTTATTCTGACACAGCCCAAGGCCTCTCTGTGGGGTTGCCACGCTGGCTTGGAGGCATGCTGCCTTTACTTTAAACAACCTCACAGTTTTGTTGCAAAATCAACATTTCTTTTTCTGTGGGAGTTGGAAGTTTCTGCACGCCTTGTGGTGTAGGCACTTACTTAAAGGGGATTTGGGGGCTCTACTAAGTCCAGAGGGGTCATGAAGGTGGATGCCCATGGCCCGGTGAATTTCACCAGCTAGCTCTGATTTCATCCTGGGGGGACCAGATGGTCTGTGGAGGGTAGGGGTGAGCTTCAGTGTGTATGTATATACATGTGTGTACACACTCGTAGGCACACACTAAAAAGAGAAAACTTCTGACATTCTCAAAATTCCTTTGGGGTCCTTTGGGTCTCATCATTCATTTCATTAGGGCTAAAATTTCCTGACCATTTTTCTTATTAATGGAGGGGAAAAAACCCTTAAATCTGGTTTCTAACAATTGGCCCAGTTAGAACCCACGTGGCTGGAGTTCTAACCCTAGGCTACTGGACCCCTGGCCCCTAAACTCTCCTCTAAGCCTTGGGAGGGGGTGGAGGTGGGGGGCATTTCATCTTCCCTCTCGCACCCAGCTTCCTGGGGACTAAGAGTGGTCACCTTCAGAGGGGCTGCTCCCTGGACCCTGCGCACAGGTACAACAGGCGTAACATCTCCATTTTACAAACAAGGAAACTGAGGCTCAAAGAAGCACCAGTCTCACTCCAGGCCTCACCAGCAGGGACCTGTCTCTGAGGTCCCCCTATTGGAAGGCAGAAAGGCTGTGGAAGGGACAAGAATGTGACGGGGTGGCCTGGGGAGGCAGGCTGGGAGAGAGAAGCCACTCTGTTGCCCCAAAGGTGGCCAGTGTTGTTGAGCTGTGGCTGGTGAGGCTGCTGAGGTCTTGGACTGAAAGGTGACTTGACACCTTTCTCTCGGGTGGAGAGGGGGCATGTAAGATTGGCAGCATCCAGCTGTCCTTGGAGAGGGAGTTGAGAGAGCTGGGCAGAGGTGGGAAGAAGTGGCCCAGCCCCAGCCTGAAGCAGCCAGACCCACCAGGGTCAGGACAGAGATAAGGGCCCCATGATGGAAGTGCCCAGACTCCAGCCCATGCAAGGGAGCACCACCCGCACGAAACCCCATAGAGACCTTACAGGCTAGGGTGGCTGAGGAGGGCTTCCGCAAATCCTTAGAGTGGGCTGGCAAGGAGAGTTAGAGGAGGGGCATTCCGCTGTCCCTGGGGCCGGGGACAATACAGCATGGTACAGTGGGGACATGCTTTCCCAGTGAAGGGAAGCTGAAGAGAGGGCTGTCACCCCACACTCCCAGCTGGGAAAGACCCACAGGAAGCCCCCTTCCAAACTATACATGCATCAGAAATACCAGTTGTCACTGTAGTTTGCGGTCTTGGAGTCAGTTCCCCGACGCATGGTGACCCAATGCACAGCAGAACGGAACACTGCCTGATCCCGGGCCATCCCCATGACCAACTGCACATTGGACTGTTGTGGTTTATCTGGTCCCACTGGTAATGTAGTGGTTACGAATCGGGCTGCTAACCTCAGAGGCAGCAGTTCGAAACTACCAGCTGTTCCGCGGGAGAAAGATGAGGCTTTCTGCTCCTGTAAAGATTTACAGCCTCAGAAACCCTGAACAGGGTCGCTATGAGTCGGAACCGACTCCACGGCACATAACAACAACTGGCTGATATTCAGAATGTTTGTCAGGACTTTCTTCCTAACCTGTCTTCATCTGGATGTGCCACTGAAACCTGTTCAGAACCATAACAACACACAAGCTCCACACAGTTGGTGGCTGAACACAGGTCTCCACATGGAAGGTGAGACTTCTACCATGAAACCACCAAAAATACAGACGTCCCTTCACCGCACCCCACACACACAGGCTCTGTGGAATCGATTCTCTGAAGGAGGACCACACTTTTGAGAAACACAGTCTAAGGATAAACACGGCACAGATGACGCAAATAGAGAGGAACAGTGACTGGGCTGCACAGTGACTCCGCCCACCAGGGGCAAGGTGAAGGCCCAGGGCCCAGCCTCGGGTGCTCTCTGCTGACCCGGAGGCCTCCTGCCAAGCCAGATGGAAGGACCAAGGTGGAAGAGATGAAAACATTCCCGGACGTAGAATCCATCCAGCTTGGCTCTAGTCAGTGTCCACAGCCCAGGCCCCTGACCTCTGTGACCGATAGCCACCCAGGGCCACCTGTAGCCCAGCCCACTCCCCGCTGGTCCCAGGCCCCCTTCCCCCCTGCCCAGACAACTTACCATAGTCCTTTTTGCAGTACTTTTTCATGTTAATCTTCAGCTTCCCTTTGGAGGCCTTGCAGTAGGAATCGCAGCCTGCCGGGCAGGGGAGAAAGCACAGACAAAAACTAATTAGGCCGGCGATGAATAGCCTGGCGGGGCGGGCGGGAGGCCACCTCCCTGATACCCCTCGGCCAGGCCATGGCGAGGGCTTGGGCAGGCGGCCATTCAGGGCAAGCCTGGCCTTCTAAAGAGGCATGGGGACAAAGGGCCCCCGCCCGGCCCCCCTTGGGCCTGACGAATCCTTTAGCTGCCTCCTGCAGGCCGTCTCAGGCTCCGTGAGACTCCGGGGGCTCTGGTATTGTGCCACCCAGGGCTGAGCGCCACACAAACTCCCCCCCCCCACCCCCATTCTTAAGATGCAACCGGAGCCTGATTAAAGCCCATAGAGGCTTCATTGTCACCCCGCGCCCCGGGTCTGTGTCAGACGCTGGCTTTCATGGCGCGGAGCCTCTAGATGGGGTCAGGCCCCAACAAAAGGGGTCACAGAGGAAATTAGCAGCCCATGAAGTATTAGAAAACCCCTTTGGTGTCCACTCTACTGGAGTGTGCAAATAAAATGCCCCACGGAGAAAGTTCAGTTCTAATGGGCCCTACTGCTGATAGGCCAGGTTGTAGGGCCTGCGTCTGCCAGCGTCATTTCAGGAGCATCCAGAGACCGGAATGAGCAGGCAGGATGGGGTGCCCAGGGCCTGCTGGTGGCCATCGCAGATGCAAACCTCTCCCTGCTCTCTGAGCAGGTTCTGTAACTCTGTCGCTAAATCCTGTGGCATTCGTGGCACGATGGCCAAGCCCTCACAGAACACCAGACACACCGTCCCCACCACCTCCTTTCACTCTCACATCCATTTCCGGATGAGCATGTTATCCCCATTCTGCAGATGAGGAAGCTGAGGCCCCAAGAGAGTATTCCACCTGCTTAGTATGTGCTGCTGTAAAGATTTACAGCCTCGGAAACCCTGTTCAGGGTTGCTATGGGTGGGAACCGACTCCACGGCACTTAACAACAACAACAACAACAACAGCATGTTGCAGACAGCTAGTGCCAAGGCAGGAGTCCTGGTGCGGCGCTGTAGGGATAAGCACTGGACTTCTATCTTCAAGGTTGGTGGTTCCAACCTACCAGCTGCTGCTTGGAAACCCTACACAGGGTCGCTATAAGTTAGAACCAACTCAACAGCATTCAACAACAACTGTGTCAAGGTAAGGAGCCCTGTTGGCGCTGTAGGATAAGCACTGGACTACTAACTGCAAGGTTGGTAGCTGACACCCACCAGCTGCTCCACAGAAGAAAGATGAGGCTTTCTGCTTCGGAAACCCTCTACAGGGTTGCTATGACTTGGAACTGACTAGGTGGGTGGTAGGTTTAGGTTAGTGCCAAGGCTGGGCCTTGAACTTGGGTCTCAGAAGCCATGATCATAGGACTCTTGGTATGTCAGGCTGCGTCTCCGTAAACACCAGTGGGTTCTCATGCTGTGAGTGGGGAAGCTGTGTTCTAGTCGTCATGGTGGGCATGGCTGCTGGACACGGACTTGGTACAGAGAAAGCAACTAGAAATAAGAAGGGACACACACTCATTGAAAGAACACGACAACGCAGGCTCAGGTGGGGGTAGGCCGGGTGCCCTGGGAGCACAGGGCAGAACCAGGGCACCTCTTAGTGCCCTCTCCCCACACTACAGCCTAGGTCAGTAAGGAGCATTCAGAGTTGACAAGAGCAAAACTAGAGACAACACTCCCTCTCCCTCTCAAGTCTGCCTGCTGGCCTCATGGGAGACAGTTGCCTCCTTCTGAATTCTGGGGTGCGTGGCCTGCTCCCTCAATTAAAGTCAAATAGCTCCTGCCCACTGTCCCGGAGCCAGGAGTCTGGTAGTCCCTAGCGGCCTCCTGTGCCGGTTCTTGGGTCCCTCACTTAGCAACTAAACACACACACACAAAAAAAAACCCCCAAACCCAATGCCATTGAGGTAATTTTGACTCATAGAGGCCCTGTGTCATGAAATGGGAGAAACAGGGATTCCACTGAGGATGTCCTTGTCCAGGGGCCACACAGAGCCATTCTAGTCCCACCATCCAGACAGAGTGACCTTCATTCCACTGTGGCCAAGCCCGAGGGTCAAGCTGAAAGGTGACCACAGCCCAGGGCATCACCTGTCACCACCATCCACCGTCACTTCCCTCCACTACGTCTCTTGGCGGTGTCTCTGCCAGCTCATGGAACCGATGACGCACAATGCAAAGCCACTGCAGCGGCCGAACCCAGGGCATTAAAGTCTAAGGCCTGGTGGTCCTAAGTGAGCTGGCTGGACTCCCCCGACTTGCTCCACTTAGGAAAGCGTACTGGAACGCAAGCAGAGCCAATGACGTCACTGCAGGACAGCCTTGAATCCACCCTAACTTCTTTCTTGTTAGTCTTTAGGAAAGGTTTCGCTTTCCTTCCCCACCAGGAGAAATTCCACACGAGCTGCTTCCTCTTTCCTAGGCTGGGACAGGTTGCTGCCTCTTGGCCCTGTAGTCAGTCCTTCTGAGTCCCCCTAAATCTCTGAGAGGGAGACGTTCCTACCTACGACTCAGATGCACACTGACTCACTGTGGGGCAGAGGGGAGGTGGCCTAGCCCTTCCATCAATCTGCCCTCTGTACCTCCTCATCTCCCCCTACACTACTCTCCCAGTCGAGGATTCCAGACAGCACCTCAAATTACAGGACGGAACACTGTCCAATCACACAACAGGCTCATGATCACCCGTATGCTGGCATACATTGCTGTGTTCCCATCTAGAGGGCTCCAGCAAGGTATCAGGCAATATCCTTTTGTGAGCCATAGGATTTTCAGAACTTTCTTCCTAGTCTCCATCTGGAAGCTCTGCCCAAGCCTGTCCACCATGGATGACCATTCCAGTGGCAGTGATTCTAGCATCATTAGCAGCACATAAGCCTCCACAGTACAACAAACTGACAGAGGACAGATGGTGAGTGACCCACCTTCACCTATTTTTGTAAAGGGCCATCTAGTCGGTTCTGATTCATAGTGACCCTGTATCAGGTTTCCCAGGAGGTGGCTTTGAAGTGCTGACCTTGTGGTTAGCAGTCCAGTGTTTATCCCACAGCGCCACAGTAGAACACCTAGAGCTTGTATCTTCACCTGGGACAGAACTCATCCTAGAATGTACGGCATCCATCGTTGGCTAATTAAATCAAGCTCGCAGATCCTATCTTGACAAATCACGAGAGTGACTGAAGGAATTTGTGAAGATGAGGGAAAAATGAATAGAAAGAATGTCAGCCGCTGACATGACACGCACGAGATGCCACTGTTCTAATGCTTCCTCTCCACCTTTGCTTTAGCCCATTTCACAGATGAGGAAACTGAGGCACAGAATCCTCAGGGACTCACCCAAGATTACATGGCAAATGGAGCAGCCTGGCTGCAGAGCTGTACTCTCAACCGTGCTGTACAATGGACTCACCAGGAAGCTTCAGAAAACACAGGTGGCCCGGGTCCCCCACCAGAGACTCTGAATTGGTTTAGGGAGCAGCTCAAATGTCTCGATCCTTTAAGTTCCCTGACTTGGGGGATTGTCACATGCAACCAGGGTCTGAATCATGTCTTAACCATGAGATGCCAGGAGGGTAAATATGGGGTCTCTGTACCTAAGACATGCACAGAGCACCCAGCTTGGCAAGGAAAGGCCCGCACAGCTGGTTCTTGCCCTCAGCTGAAGACAGTCTGAGCTGTTTGCCCTTCTAGGAGCTGGTGTCAGCCTCAGAGCACATATATTCTTATTTTTCTTGTGATGGATTTAATGCCTTTCCTCTGTCAGCTGGAAATTCTTGTCTGACGTGCATATTGCAAAAGGTTCCATACTTCTTGCAGATTTGCTGATTCTAACATATCTGTACCACCATGCATCTTGCCACTCTGTCATACCTGCGTATGGTTGTGATGCTGGAGGCTGAGTTACCAGTAACTCAAATACCAACAGGGGCACCCACGATGGACAGTTATCAGTGGAACTTCCAGAGTACAACAAACTAAGAAGAAGGCCTGGTGGATTATGAAAATCAGCCCATGAAAACCTTGTGGATCACAACAGAATAGTGCTCCATATAGTGCTGGAAGATGAGCTTGGTGATGCCAACAATGGACTTGAACAGACCAATGGTGATAGAGAGGTCTCAGGACTGGGCAGGGTTTGTGTTGTTCATGGGGTCACCATGAGTCCAAGCCCACTCACTAGTAACCCATAGCAACAACTTAGTTGTGAGCTAGGAAGATGGAAAACCAAGCTACAGTAGGGCATGTAAAACAGACTGAAATGGTCTCCTTGGGATAGAGTGAATACACTTCAGGACATGGATTTTGTGATCGTTTGTGCTCTCCTTGATTTAGCTGTATTTCCAGACAGCTGAGGTCATTGGACCAGTGACTCTGGATAAGAGAATTGTACCTATAACTCCTTCTTCTATCAGCTACACTCCAAGTTCACAGAGACAGTCTTTAGGTAGACAACCACAGCTTTCCAACCCCGCTTTGCCTCCTTCTTCAAAATGGTATCAGCTTGGCAGCAATCCATGCAGCCTCTCCTAGTTTTGTTCTAAAATAGAGCTATTAAGACAATGAAAGAATGAAAATTCACAGTAATGCCCAAACGGAACTGATAGATGACCCAATGTTGGAATCTGGGAGCAATCTCCAAAAATTAGAGGCAGATGGTGATGGAATGAGCTAAACCTGCCCAGATTTTACCACTGGACACAGCCCTTTGTCTGGTGAACAGAAAGATCTGGGAGGTGGGGAGGATAGCAGAGAGACAACAAGCAGGAAACAAATGGGTAGGAAGTGGGAAGGGGCATCTGTGGTAACGCGATCCTACAGAGAGCAGAAGTTTACGGACGGGAAGGGTGGAGACAGAAAAGGCAGTGGTTTGCAGATGTAACTTGTATCTTGATCAAAATCACTGATGTAAAGAATCAGAAAATCAGGCAGTGGGAAAGGGCAAAGATCCACTAGCTGGGGGCAGTAGTAAATCTAGAT